AATCAAAACAATCCGCTGGTGAAATATGGTCGAACCGTTCCCACAGGACCAAAACAAAGGTACCAGAAAGCAGACACTTCACCCTGTCTCACTTTACACCGTCCGTGATCGTCATTGTCGCTAAATTGTCAGCGTATGTCAATTGTCATCCCGAAATAAAGCCATTGTCCCAAACAAAAGAATTGAGCATCGAACGTGCGACCGACGTGTGTGAAGTACGGAACAAAATAGATCATCAGCGTGTGCCAAGGGATGAGGATCATCACAGGGTTTTGTAGAGTATCATGATACTTGACTTTATGTGTTGCTACCGCGGTAGAGAATTGATGATATCGAATCTCCACCGATTGGCAGTGGAACAATCCTCATGCTTGGAAACTCGTAATTTTATTGAATGAGGAGCAGTTTTTTCGAGCACAGACACATCGTCAATTTTTTTTCGTTATTTAATAAACGGACATTAACAATTTTTGTTATGGAGTATTGGGAATTCTTTGATCGAAAAGCAATATGACTCTTTTATATATCACATATTTTTATTTAAAGAAATAAATTTTTACCAGCGTTTTGAAATTCATTTGTTTTATAGATTTGTTCCCAATGTTTGAATGTGTTACAAAATATGTTTGAATTAATATTTTATTTTTTCATACAGTGATGACCTTTAAAAATCTGTTTTAAAATCTGTTTTTCCGTGAATCAATTGTCGCCCCCATACAAACGACAACTCTTAGAAGCTGAGAAATGTATGCGACGACTAACGAGGTCTTACCTTTTAACGTGTGATTCCTAACACAATTTTATGAATATATTGTGCTATGTAAGAGTTCTCTGGAAAGTTGAATTTTTTCACAAAAATGTTCCATATTTTTTTTGTAAATGACTTATTTTCAGTTTGGGTTTCTTCGAAATTTGTATATTCTGGAAGCCATTTATATTGTTTTGAAAAATATAGTCGGTGTAATAGGCGATTTGAAAGATGTAGGTACACACCTGTCCTAGTGATACAGTTTATTGTATATTTCCACTACAAAGGGTTTTACAAAAACCACTATACATGTTTCGCTATACAATAGGTTCCTCAAGCATATTCAATTATAACTAGAATTATTTTTGGATGACTCTGGAACTGAACAATACAATAATTTCATAAGTTCAATCATTATGCTGATCAGGATCGACAGGATTAAATACTTTCCTCACACAGTCTCTGTGTGAGAGCATGAAGTGGGACAACCACACTGTCTACGCAAGCGTATATATTTTATATTGGCACAAATGGGCTTGAAATAGGAAGCCAAACTAAAAAGTTGAAAATAAATAACAGTTTAGGAAACTAAAATAACACGCTTTAATAGCAACACAAGCTAAAAAATAATTCGAAACTAATTTGAGATTATATTCAACGTCAATAATGAGTCATATGGCTTGATGTAATTGATGACTTTTAATAAATCTGAAATCAGAATAGATCTATATACAAAAAATTCCTTTTATTTCCAAAAAAGCGTGGGGGGCTAAATATCCATTGTTATGAATACCTGGTTAGGAGCCATAATAAAAACAATTCAAAGCATCCCACATCAAGCCGTAGGATGTGTTATCGATGTTGAACACAATTTCAAATAAGTTCGAGTTTCGAAACTCGAATTTTTGACTCTAATCACGAAATTTCGGCTTTAGTCTCGAAATTTCTACTTCAAACCTGAATTTTCGTAAAATCAGAACATTTGCAAACCTTCAAACTGTATTGAGTGTTTATCGCGACCTTTTCCCCACCTGGCAAACAATGTTATGCTTTCAGGACATATTACCAATTCTAGAACTCGAGATTTGAGAATAATTTCAAATATGAGCAATCCGTCTAATAGTATGAGTATATAATAGATTATTGTTCTAGTGAGTAGTAAATGGTATATACTTATTTCTAAAATTGAATGTAACTGGCCGATATTTGATGCAAATCAATCGATATCACCAGTAATGAAGTAAGTAGCAGATAATTATTCGAAAGATTTTGATGTTTTTGGGGAAAATTAAATATGAAGTGAAATACCAATTGATCAACAACCGAATTTGACTTTCCACCCGCTGTGTTTACTAATAAATCAGTTGCTTGGGACTTGAGATTCTGGTAAAATTATGAAATTTTGAGATTTTGAATAATGGCTTCAGTCACTGACCAGAAAAATTTGGAACCATTAGGACTTGCCGAAAAAAAAATTGAATTCATTATTTGAAAATAATATAGAATATATTTTTGTTGAATAAAAAAGTGTGCCACTTAGGCCATTTTCCCTGCTATGATTTCTGCCATGGTATGGCAGTAGTTTGAAAGTAAGGAGGCATCATTCTAGCAAAGAATCAAATAATCGGAACAATAGAAAGAGCTTGGCAGAGTTTGCTGCATTCTAAGAAGGAATCTCGACATTTCACCCCTTCCTTCTAGTTCTGACGATATTAGTCTGATCCATAGTTGAAAACTCAACAACGAATATTATCTCATTTTGATAGATAGCCGAGAAGGGTAATGGTGCGAAGGAAATAGTTTCAATAAATTTGGTGCTTTTTATTTCCCATAAAGGATTTGATGTCCTCAAGTGCGTAGGCTACACCGGTGTAACAGAGGTTGAAGTGGTAATAAAGCAGTAGTAGGACTAGGCATGTCGACAGGTCATGTATTAGAGCCTCAAGTGCTTTGATTCAAGCCCCGTGTCTGAAATCAAATACCTCAATACCCATCACTTGACTATGGTAGATACAGGCAGGCCCTGATGATGCCCTTAGCTTTCGGCTTCAACTCACTTGACCCGAGAAAAGCAAAGATCAGGTGCTTTGATAAGTCAAGGTCTTTCCTGTTGTTGAAGAAGACCAGATGCATCGAGTTATACCTACTTGTGTGCATGCAAACATGAACAAGTTTTTGCGGCTTTGATTTGAGCTTTTTGCTCACAGGGTTCCAACTTGGTGACAGAGTTGTGATCATCTCGTCCTGCTCTCTCATGGTAGCGGACCATGTAGGGAAAAATATCAGATATTCGGATAACTTCCGAGGCTTCATTCAATACCGTTTTGTTATGTAGATAATCCAAACTCAAAAGTTCGTCTTGTTGGAGAAAGTATAGCCATGAAACGGATTATTATTGGGTTGCAAACTCCTATGGAGATGTATAATTTTTTGAGTTCCCCCATCCAGTCTTCTCTCGAGTTCATCTAAGTTTCCCAAAGCAATATGTGAGTAAAATCCAAAAGGTGAGTATACTTGTAACGGGACGTTTGTTTGTGAAAACAATGCATTTACACGGACACTCAAAGAAAATGTTTTAGGCACTTTGTACATACAAAAATTGTAATTAATCCTAATACGCAGCTCATAGACGAAAGTATCATCACCATGTGGATGCAATAAATTATATTTTCTTTCTTCGAGTTGTTACAGCGCCATTCAGTATCTTAACTTCTGTGAAGAACTCTCTCCGCAGCAAGTATCAGCACAAAGTCCGACATATCTGGTCACCGGAACTGTTAGAGAAAATTATATCCATATTTTGATTTTCATGGAATTATTTTCCAGCAACTCGACAGCATTAACCTTTCTCGATTTCATACCATTTCAGAAACATGTTAGTTCGTTTTCCGATGGCATCCCAGGATAGCTTCCCAAATTTCTGCTACCGCAGTTGTCGGTTGATTGGTCAAACCACCAACACTGACATAAAAACTTGACAAGTTGACTTATGTGTCACACCAATAGGTGGTTCCATTTATGTCTCGCTTGCGTTTACGCAGTTATTTTTATCAAGTACTTTTCTTGGGTATTCACATTTTGTCTTCAATCAAAGACCGCCTGTCCGGTACTGACGATGCCCAACAGGCTGAAACAGTTGTCTACCGGTGGCTCTTAAATTGAAATCAATATGGGAATGATCAGAATGGTAATTATCTATTTATCTTTTGATTTAATAATTTTGAATAACAAGACGCTACACCCTGTTCTCTCTATAGACATATTATTTATTTTTGCTCAAACTGTGGAGTTGAAAACGACAAAAAAACTCAATCGCGAGTTGATACGTCAAGAAGAGTACATCGACCAAGCTACTGAAGATGACTGCCGCAGTTGCAGTTGAAACCTTTGGAGATTGTAACTGAAAAGACCTCGGCAAAACCCAGAAACCAATCAAAACATTGACGCCAGCCGTGAAAGCCTACATTCCTGTATCAATTTATATTCTAGTATTGTGATTGGGCATTCCTACATTCATACAAAAGTATTTTAATGTTCATGTATGTATATGAGTGAAAGGTAAACATTAGGTGAAGGTACCGACATGATGCCAAACCCGACAAACAACAGTATTAGGTAGTCGACAGTTATTTTTGTGCCGAACTAGCACCTCATCTGGAAGTTTTTTTGTAATATGAATGCCTTGTGATGGGAAGGTACTCCAAAGCATCATACCATAACTGAGTTTTGACTGTATGAGAGCGTATTGAGCCCCTAATAACGTTTCAGTTCTGTCAAACTTTAATTGTCGTAATAGATAGGAGTATTACTCTTTTCTTTCCATATCCTATATAGGAAAGGTCTGAATAACAAGATACTCATAGGTACTCATGTTGATTATTCGCTCAGAACAAAGTTCCACAGACGAGTGAAATCATTGCTTTACGAAACATCAAAAAATAAATGAAGTACCTTCCGAAATTCGAACACGGTTTATTGACACCCCAGCCGCTGTGCAAACTAATTGAATACCTAAAGGTAAATATAGAAGCACCTATCATAAAACACAAGAACGTGCACTTCACACACAAAACGTTCCCCTCCGATCGGCGGGAAAGTTCGGGAGGGGTTTATTTATGACGCCACAAGCCATTCGGGCCCGATTCCTGTGATTGGCCGCCATTCAACCCCTAACTGCTGACTCCACCCCGTCAGAAACCCTCCGCGTGGAAAGCACACTGAAAAAGTTCACAGTCGATCATAAACCCGACAGATTGCAGTCAGCAAATCACTCGTGACGTTCTGTCAAATTTGTTGGAAGTCATTCACTGGGCGTCTCGTAACCGCGCGCAGTTTTACCTTCCGCGGATAAAGTATTGGTGGTTATAAACCGGTGGTTGTGAAGCATGCCTGTGTGATAAGTATATTCTTTATTGGGTATTAGTGACATTTGATCAATGATGTTGGATATCAAACCGACGGCCGACTATCTTAGTCGAAATTCCACTTTTGGGCAGTTTTCTATGCTTTTTGGTAAATATTTTCTTCTATTTTATTGATTTTTTATGTCAGTAGCTTCGATCTTCTTGAAAGGTGAACACCGTTTAATTGAAACATTGAAAAGAGAGAAATATTTTAAATCAATTGAAGTATTGGGTAGATTTCGAAAAAAAAAAAATAAAGACAGTCTGTCATAAACGAATGTTAGATTTTTCACTTTATGACTAATTCAAAATCATGTAGTTAGCACCGTGTTTATCAAGAGTTGTTTCATTTGTTTGTTTGGAATTTAATGCATATAATGAAACCACAATTTTTGCGATTTTAATGATAACACTGACAGACATTCTTATCCGCTACAATGAAAATCACAAGACATTTCGACAAGATTGGACACCTGCTAATTATACCTTTGCTTTTTCATCTAGCAAGATGAATCGGACGAAGAGAATCAGTTACCAGTAGAGTTGTCTTCAGGGTCGCCTGATTTAGGACCGTTAGATTTTATGGTTGAGTTACTCAAAATCTAAAATTATTAAAACTCAATCTGAATATCTAGATAAGTGAGGTCAACCCTGTATCGACGTAAAAACTAAATAACAACCCAATCAAAACACTGAACTACTGGCATCATAATTCTTTCAACACATTTTGAATCAATTTTCAAACCCAACCCCATTAGCCACTGTAGGTTTAATTCAAGTTCTCGACAGGAATAAAGAAATTAACCAAATTTTATTCACATGTTGATGAATGGTGCAAGAATTTAATGTTTCAACATTTGCTAAGCCTAGGGCGAGAAAGTTGAGAGCTTTGCGCTGAATGCAGCATTGAAGCGCTTTCTAAATTGTTTTAATTTCATTTAGTGGCTGGATTCAGCAAAATACCAGAAATTTCTGTTTCTTTCCATTTCAAAAATAATTTATGAAAAAAAATCTCAGTCAATTAGAGGCTTCACTCATTCAAAAATTCGACTCATATTTTTTCAAAGATTGTTAAGAATGTTTAATAATCTTTATCAGATTTTTATTGATCTGTAATATTAGAAAACCAGTAGGAAGTTAAAATCGGTTCGGACTTCTATTTTGACGCTGCTTCTTAAATGTTTTTATAAATCTTGTCGCGGAGATTGGATTGACAAAGTGGCAGAAATACCATGCTTATACATAAAATTATAAAAACTGATATGACGGAGTCCTTGGCTTTCTATTATGCTAAGTGAAAATCTTTCCTGAAACAGGAAAATTTTCAAGCAATAAAAGGCTTTTGAAATCTATGGTACAGGGTATGTGGATTAAAATTCATCTATACAAAATGCTGTTTCTAAAATAACAATTCGGTAAGTCTGTAGGGATATCGAAGAGGATCGAGTGACTCTTTATAGTTTTCATTTAGAAACCAAGAGATTTGATAGATTGAATGATTTTTTAGTGATAATTAATTTATATATATAGGTANCCAGCTGTTTACCATGTTTAGTTTGTTGGTGAGAGGCATTAAAGTTAGAAGTGTTTTGCGTTGGAGATTTTCTGCATTCGCAGCAAACTTTATGTAAAAAATGAAATTGAGTACTCAAAAACACTTTAAAAGTTATCAGTGGCATACGGCGATGGCAGTCAGAAAAATATTTACAAATGGAAGAAGCTTCTCACAGAAGATCGAGAAAATGTGAATGACGACGCTCGCCCTGGACGCCCCAGCACATCAACACATCAACAACCGATGAAAATAATGAGAAAGTGAAGAAAATTGTTATGGAAAATCGTCGAGTCACTATTAGAAAGGTTGCCGAGGATGTCGACATAGTCGGTTGGCTCATGCCATGCAATTTTTTGGAAATTTTGGGCATGAAGCGTGTGCCAGCAAAGTTCATTTCAAAATTGCTGTATTTTGACAAAAAAACATCGCATGAGCATCGCTCATGCGACAGACTCGTGGTTTCATCATGCTGTTTGCTCTCATAGTTTCCGTTGAAATGTTGGGGTCTTGTTGTACGAGGGTACCATTTATATTTCGGGAATAGCAAATAATAACAAACATTTTATAATGAAAATGGCTTTTTTGTTTTTGGAAATATTCCCCTTGATGATCAATACACTTTTGCATCCGTTCCAATCATTTGTTAAAGCAGTTTTTCCACTACTCTTGAGCCACCTCTAAAACATGGTTTTTGAAAGTTTCAACTGCTTCTTCGACACTCGCAAATCGTTGACCACGCAGTTTACCGTTGAAATTCGAGAATAAAAAGAAGCCATGATGTACCAAATCAGTACTGTACGGAGGATGAGGCATCACTTCGATGTTTTGTCTGCTCAAAAATTCTACTGTTTGACGAGATGTGTGAGAGCTTGCATTGTCACTTTTTCACTGGTACAGTTTCTCAGAAATTTTTGGAATCACAAATGATACTTAAATTTTAAAGTTTTAAAAATACCACTTCCTATCAGGATATCCGAAATAAATGAAGTGAAAAATGACATTGAGAAATATAGTAAAAAAAGTACGTGAATGGGTGAAAAAATTATATTTCTTAGTTTTTATTTAAAAACCGACAAAACTTTTATTTCTCCCAACATCAAATTGTTTGGCAATATTGCCAGACAATGCTTCTAGGAAATTAACAAATCCTTCCACATTAACTTCTTCCTGCTCGACTTATACATATTAAACGGAATTCGTGTTTGCTGCAAAAAAAGTGAATATTGTTAGTATGTGATATTTTCATATATCTACTTAATTTCAGAAAAACTTTCACTTGATTTATCTGTCATTCATTTGAAAACAAAATTTAATGTTCTCTATAAGATTTCGGGAGTATGGTGTTCGCTGTTATCGCCCGAAAACGAATGTGTAAGCAGATGAATTCCGCATCATTCAAGTAACGGTGGAAATATTGATATAAGTCAAACTTTCTCAGTGATACACATTCATATAAACACAATTTACATTTGAACATTATCTCTTACCTTTTTAATCACTTTGAATACCTAGTACTACCTAGTAATACTAGTTGCACAATGAACCTTTATTAAAAAACAATGAAATCACGAATGACTACAAATTTTCTTCACAACTTCTAACTTTTCCGACAACAGGATAACATGTTAATGGACTGATCCAAATATACTTAATATGCACTGTTAAATCTATCCATTCGATATGTGATCTGTGAAGAATAAAGGTAGTGATTTTACCAATATTTAATATATATCAGGTTATTACGCTAGCACAAAGTTTTAATTGTGAAATATTTCCTAATATGTTCTGGAAAATTACTTCAATTTTTAACAGTGTAGATGACGTCATGATGCCAACATCTAGAATTTGTAGGAAATGGCTCCTAGGTTGCCATTTTGAAAGAAAATGGTCACTTCTGTTATATCGTTGAAATGAAATATTTATATTCTTTTAAACGACGAAAAGTACGGAAGCGCAGAAGAGCCACATATTTTTATTGTTTAATTCAGTTGTTTCTTGGAAATCACAACTTCAAACTCGAAATAACAACTTTAAACTCGGAATTTCAACAAAATTTTGGAATTTCCAGATGAAAGTCAAGATTAAAGTCGAAATTTTGAGTTTAAAGTCGTAATTTCGAGTAAGGACTATGACATCCCCCTTACATAAATGCCCGCCATTAATGGGATCGACAAAGAACTCCATCCTCGAATATCAAAAATAAACGAGGCTCCCCAAGGCGGTTGGATGCAAAGCCAAGCTTCGACATCAACCGCCTACAAGATTCGTTCTCTGTCTTTCACTGCAACTAGAACTACAGCATAAACACATTTATGATTCAACATCAGACTGCGCTGTTTTGACCAGCCATAGGTCTCATCAGCTAGGCTGAACCACAATTGCATGAGATCGATTTCATAGATGACGTCTTCGTAAGGAGACATTTCGAGTTAAAAGTCGAGAATTTCGACTTTGAAGTCGTAATTACCAAGAAAAAAATGATAAAAATATGTGGCCTTTCTGCGCTTCCGTACAAACGAATAGGCAGGGCTCTATCCAAAATTTTAAATTTTATACCCCAGAAACAAGTGAATGGCACAATATAAAATTTTTTCGTTGTCACTCGGTATACATTCCATAATTTGAAATGATGATAAGTAGTTTTATCGCACATATTTTGCTCCCTTTTTAGTTCTCAGTATCGACTGAAAAATTACCGCGAAACACGGCAAGATACAAAATATTGTTAATCCTGACTGCCTGTTTATTTATCTATGTCAAAAATTGAACGATAATTGAAAATTCCATTAGCACCCGAAGCCATCGCGATGAAAAAGCTATTTTGAGAGGAAATGGAAATGCCGCAGCGGAAGAAAATGTAAAAATAAATTACGTAAAATCCGCTACACAAACCTGATAACCGAACACGACAAATCAGTTAATACAAATTTCCTCGAAAATAAAATTTGTGGATTTCCATGGGTGGGGATGACGTTATTACTTTTCTACCTCCACTCGGATTCTCCCGACTCGATGGAAGAATGCAGGAAATTCAGAATCCGGGCGGGAGCGCAGCTTCCTGGATGTTCAGTTCATGTTCTCCAATTTCAATGGCTTTCCCGATTCCTCATAACACAAACTCAATTGTTTCTTTCGCCTGTTGAAAAACCTAATTCGTATTCAGTTCGAAATATATTTTTCAGTTCCGTTACGGCTTACCTAACCCACGTAACCTAATTTTGTTTTTTGATGAAGTACGTGTTATGGCAATAAATTTCTGATATAAGTGAGTTTTACTTGAAATGATTGAGGAAACGCAAAAAAGTGGCCCATGAGGGGATCGAACCCGCGACCTTCGCGTTATTAGCACGACGCTCTAACCAACTGAGCTAATGGGCCAGTACAGCACTTATAATCTGTAAAAAAATCACAAGATTGCTTGAAGAAGCTATTGTATAGCGAAACACGTGTCGCGGTTTTTGTAAAACCCTTATAGTGAAAATCATAGAATAAACTCTATTGATTAGTTTTTTAAAAATAAATAAAACTGAAAAAAGGCTTAAAATAATTTTATAATAGGAAAAGTAGCCCATGGGGGGATCGAACCCACGACCTTCGCGTTATTAGCACGAGACGCTCCAACCAACTGAGCTAATGGGCCAGTACAACACTTTCGATCAGTAGAAAAATCACAAGTAGGGTAGACCGGGGACAATTGAAACAGGGGACAATAGAAATAACCGCCATAGTAGACCTATTTCGCGGTTTAAATCACGCGCGCTTATACCAAACGAAGCGCCATTAGATGAAGAACGTAGCCATCTATCGGCCACTGACGGCAGTTGTGAGTGTATGTGCACGTCCACGATAACTTGATTTCCCGCTATCGAAGTAAACTTTTACATTGATTGAAAAAGTGTGTTACAAGAGATAAAAACGTAAGTATCCAGCTTCAACTATATTTATTACTTTGCCCTTTAGTCGGGATACTTCAAATTATTACTCTAATCCAAGAGTAAGAAAATATTTGAGTGTTCACTCAAAAATGTGGTGCAGGGACAGTTGAAACACATGACATGGGGGACGATTGAAACATGTTTCAATTGTCCCCGTCGTGAATTTTTCATGTGGTTCATATTGTAGGTTGTGTAAGGGTATGTTAAGGTGTTAACTTTTATTTTAGGATGCCACGAGTAAGAGTGAGAAAAACTGAGAGAGGATTAAAATCCATTTTGGCATATGAAGAAGCTTACAAAGAGGTTACTGAAAATAATGCTTGATAAGGTCTGCAGCAGATAAATATGAACTACATTACGTCTCTTTGAGTAGATTTATTAGGAAGAAAAAGCAAGCAATTGAGCAAGAATCCTCTGTTCCTGTCACTATGGGTTATCATTGTGTGAGGCGAGTATTTGACGTGAACCAGGAAAAAATTATTGTTGGCTATATAATCAAAGCAGCGCATATATTCTACGGATTACCACCCAAAGAAATTCGGAAATTAGCTTTTCAGTTGGCCGTGAAATATTCGCTGAACATGCCTGATACATGGAGACAAAATGCCATGAGGCACTCATCACACTTGTCCAGCATCGTCAAGTAATTATTGCACTCCATCAACATCTCCAAGCACTCATCGCACGCCGCCAGCATCACCAAGCATCTCAAAACTCATATTTTTGCAAGCTGACGCAGAACCAAGCACCTCAAAATCTGTATTTTCACGTGTTGATGCAGAACCAAGCACTTCAATGGCCGTATTCTTGCCAGAAATCGTTAGACCGTTGCCGAAAGCTCCGCCTAGGAAAACATGTCAGAAATGAAAAACTAGAAAATCTGCTATCTATACGGACACTCCTGAAAAAAATGTAATTCAAGAGGAGTATGACGCAAAAAAAAGGAAAGTTAAGGGAAAAGTTACGGAGTTCAAAGACATGCCGAAGGCAGTTCGCCAGCTCAAGAAAACCAAACAACGCCAAAACAATCAGAAACAGAGTGAAAGCGACGAATAAGAAACTTACTGTCTAGTTTGCCTGGAACCGTATGGCAGTAGTCGCCCTGGAGAGAAATGGGTGCGGTGCATTGAATGTCGTCACTGGTCCCACGAAGAATGTACTCGACAAGAAGATCTTTACATGTCACAATTGCTTGTCAGAATGAATATTTTTAATTATTAATGTAATTTATTTCGTATTAGAATAAATATTTCTCTAATCTGAATGCTATTTTAATTGTCCCATGTATATGTTTCATTCGTCCCCGGCAAGGGGACGATTGAAACAGTTTGATGAGCTACAGTTTTTGTTTTATATCTTATTTATTTATCGTTTTAGGCGAACGAAATGATGTAAATAGAAACCCGATTGAATATGCTCCCTTTTACCCATGTCATAATTAAGAAATTTGCGATAGCCGCAGAGAAAGAAATTCAAGAAGCAAAAATGTTTCAATTGTCCCCGGTCTACCCAAAAATAACATGTAGTACGTAATTGACACATATTATGCTTTTTGATTGATCATGAAAACTTTTAGGGATATGAAGTATTCTAAATAAATTAATATTAAATAACATTCTAGAATAGTTCAGTAAAAAGTAAATAAATCTGAAAATAGGCTTAAAATAAATTTATAAAAGGAAAAGTGGCCCATGGGGGGATCGAACCAGCGACCTTCGCGTTATTAGCACGACGCTCTAACCAACTGAGCTAATGGGCCAGTACAGCACTTATAATCTGTAATAAAATCACAAGTAAAATAACATGTAATACGTAATTGACACATATTATGCATTTTGATTGATCATGAAAACTTTTAGGGATATAAAGTATTCAAAATGAATTTATATCAAATAACATTCTAGAATAGTTAACTAAAAAGTAAATAAAACTGAAAAAAGGCTAGAATGAATTTATAATACGTAATACGTAATTGACACATATTATGCTTTTTGATGGATCATGAAAACTTTTAGGGATATGAAGTATTCCAAATGAATTTATATCAAATAACATTTTAGAATAGTTCAGTAAAAAGTAAATAAAACTGAAAACAGACTTGAAATAAATTCATAATAGAAAACATTTTTAAAACCAACTTTTATATACATGTTCTAGTGAGAAGACAATAAACATTGGATTAAATCAAACCCATCAGCTTATTACATTATAAAATTCAAATGACACACAATCTTGTCGCAAAATATAATTTTTGAAGTGATAACTTCTTATAGGAGGGAAACCGCTTCGTTACCTGACGCGCAACGGCGCCAATTTGTCTGGCTTTCCTTTCTCTCACGCATACGTCAGCGGAAGGCAGGCTCCTCCCCTCTCGTCGGACAGACGCTAAGTGTTTAGTGTGCGTTAGATATTTACTGTTTGAAGGTGACTGACAATGTTTCGCCACTAAACCGGAAAAGAGGAAAGGGGGGTTAGGTGAAAGCACTCGAATGACCTATAAATAATCATCTCTCGGAGAAATGAATCCAGTCATCACCTGAAGCCAATTGTGGATACTAACAATTGAAACTTTGTGAAGTTACTTGGCTTGGAATCTCTTACCGTTTTTAATTTTTTGTTCAATTTGTTCCATTTTTACTTGTATTTTATTTC